CTAGGTGCCATAATCACAAATTTTCTTGCCTCAGCCCCAACCATGGTGGTATAGATTCTCCATCTGCTGAAGTACCCAGTGGCGCATTCAAGGGGACCCAGACGGCCCGCCTCCCCACCCTCCTAAATTGTTCAATAAAAAAAATGGAGATATAAAGATAATTATATTCAAATTTTATGTCTGGAAGTGCGATTTCTGGCCGTCTAGAGGTGCCATAATCACAAATTTTCCTACCTCAGCCCCAACCATCTATAGTATAGATCTTCTATCTGTCAAAGTACCCTCCCTGGGCCCTTCTATTTCGAATTCCTGGATCCGCCACTGGAAATTACAACAAATATGAAATCATATTACAGTCGCTTGATGCCTATAAAATAACTTATAAAATTCACCAAACTTTGTAAAATATTCGTAGCTTCCAGGGGACTTCGCCCCCTGGACCCCCACCAGGGGCCCTTGGTACAGCATTCAGCAAAAGCCAATGCTAATTTGGAGTCTGAAAGTTGAACTCCGCGTTAACGTACATTTAGCGTGAATCGATAAATTTACGTGACCGATATGCAAGTTTATTAAAGTATGACTGCGCATGCATTGTTTTATTTACGTAAATATATCGTTTACTGATTTGTTTACGGCGACGTAAATATATCCACTTCCATTAAAAAAATTTAAATCTCTCTACTGAAAAGTTGAAAGTTGCAATAAAGATTATTTGGTTTGAACAGGCATCCTCCTTATTATCAAAATAGCAAACCAGGAACAATTTTTCCCTATTTGGCCTAAATTAACATACTTCTATATTTTTTTAGGTGCTTTCCTTCTTATATTGGGTGATTCTGTGCGCTGTCGTGTATTTTAATGTTGGGTTCATGATCACAGTTGGACTTACTGCAATGATTGAGACAGCAATTTACTTTGTTGTTTTTCTGCTACACCTCAATGAGAAAGTTCAGTTCATCGCATGGGAATTGTCGGTAAGTTTGTCTTGAAGAATGAATTTTTTCGCTATGCTCCTTCCCTTGGACATTTTTTTTTAAATTTTGTTTTTCTAAATAAAGAAAAGACCTAAAAATTCAAAACATGAATATTGTTGCTAAGTCCCCACAAACGACAGTGTAAAAACATGCACATACGTGTGCTTGTGGAACAACATGTCTGTTTGTACAACACACACATATTCCTGGCATTGTCCTGATTGATCATTTGATGAGTTTGGTAGACAGTCCATTTTGCCTTTTTGAACAAGATTATTATTGTGGTTGTTCTTCATGTATTTGTTTCTCTTAATATTTGTTGTATTGTTCATTAAGGAAGATTCCTGTCAACCATTTTGTTAATATAATGCACACTATACACAAAGTTTTTTTTTTTGTCAAAATGGTAGTAAAGTACAGTGTAAATTTTAATTTGTGTGACCATCTTTAATTTTACACCAACCCAGGAGTTTATTCTGAACTGTGTGGTAACAGGACTTTACCTGGTTTCTGCTATCATAACTTCTGTAAAAGCTGGACAATCCAAGTATTATTCTGACCATGGGAAGCTTGTATTTTGCACTGTAAGTATACCACTCTTAACAATCCTTATGGGACATATATTATTTTCATATATTGATTATAGGTATCTATAGAGTGTAGTTTTCAGATGATAGCATATATTGCAAAATAATGATATTGATACTGACACTGCAATATGTCCATCATAAAAACGGAAGTACATTTAAAACTGGCAGAACATTAATAAAATATATAAATATACATCAATACAAAAGAATTTTGTGATCCAAGTCCAAGTACATGATGTGTCTTCTTCATCCATTTTATTTTATTTTTTTATTTTAAGAGATACCTGGGCCGACTGTCCCCCCCCCCCCTTGAAACCGCCTATGTTTGTCTCCCTCTACCCAGGAGTGTAAATGCTTACAGATTTTAATTGGTTATATTGGTTATTGTTGTAATTGGAATTACCTGTAGTTGAAATAAAATATAGCTTACTTTACTTGTGTTGCTATCTCCGCAATTTCTTCAGGGAAACTGATGTAATGACACAGATCCACTTGTCACATGATATTTCAAGCATGAATTTGAATGATCATGTGACAACACCTCTTCTACTACTGCTGGTAACTTGTGTCCACAAGTCAGGTTGCACAGATGTTTTGGCATTGAATGGTTGTGTACTGTCTATTGCAGCATCTCTTCGAATACTTGGAAATTACAAGTTCTGATGATGCTTGCTTGCAACTGTGATTTTGTTACATGATCATGTAAAATAACTTATTAGATTTACCAATTTGATAAGCAAATTAATTATATGTACAAAAGAGATAATACTACATATTACCAAAAATGGCTAAAAATAACAAAAGTGAAAAAAATTTGAATATAAAAACAATCTACTAGTCTTGTATACAAATACTACAATTTTTGGTAGTAATAAGGATAAAATACTATATTTTTATAATCTCCATATTTTATTTATTAAAATTGTATATAATATTGATGTAATAATAATTCTATAATAATTGAATTTTTTTAAAGTTTAATTTGATATTTTGTTTATTTTTGTGATCTTTTGTTATTGCTCTTTTATATATTTAAATATTGTATAGTATAACACCATCACAAATTTATTGAATAAACGTTTATAGAAAAAATAATTAATAATGAATAATATATAGTAATTAAATAGTAAAATAATAATAATAAATAGTAATGCAATAATATCATTAGATATTGTAAAATGTTTGATATCAAAATATTTCCCTTCAGCTTCTGGCGTGGGCATTGACTTTGTTGTATGCAGCAAGTATCTTCTTTAGTTTCCGTGCATTCATGGCACACCGGGACAGACGTTCAGCAGGCAGGCCTGCAACCCTAACTACGACTACTACTACTACACAACAGACCACAACCGTGGTTACTGATGGTTCCCAAGTGTTTGTACCAGCCCAAGACCCGTACGCACCTCCTGCGTATTCTCCTTATTAAACCAGCTTGGTTTAGTGGTTGAGCACAGTATCTTTCTGTAGAGTACAAAACATGCACGTTCTTGTGACAGCCCTCCCCCTCAAAAGGTACACAATATATAACGATTGTCGATTTTAAGATCATCTATTTTTTTCTTTTTTTTTAACAAGTGTACACTCACTCACTGTCACACCAGCATATGTTTTGTATTCATATAAAAGTTATGATTAATATCCATAACAATTAGACTTGATTAAAAATTCTTGCTTTTTTTTAAATAAAGAAAGCAATACTTAAAAATATACTGTATATATAATGGACTTTTTTGGTTTCCAGGGTATTTTGATACATTAGTGATTAGTGATTATTCTTTGTGGCTATTACCCATATTTATGTGCCCATAGATATATAAACAGCTGTGTTACATTGATATGGAGGCTTAGACAGGAGGTTCTGACAATTTGTGGCAAAGGTCTGCATTATAATTTGAGTATGAAATCCCTTTATTTTTGCTACCAGAAATTTAATTTGTAATATTTGAATATTGAAATATCATTTTAATTACAAGAATGTTTATTGTTTGAAATTACTTAGAAGAATGATATATTCTCTTATCTGTTTTATATCAATTCCATTTGTAAGTTTTAATTGGTCACTAGGATACTACTGTATTACTGGTGTATTATTTCCATTATTATTTGTTAATGATTCTGAAAAGTTTTTGGAAAAAAAATAATATTGAAATTTGGGTCTATCCATGATTAATCCAGAAGACCCACAAATCTCATCAAAGATTCTGTTCAATTCTCAGGGTTTATTGTAATTTTGGCTTTCATTTGTTGATTGTATTGCAAAGAGTACAAATAGGCCAAGAGAGCCAACTACGAGCGTAAAAATTGATATGCAATACACAACCAGTGTAGAATGCCCGCTGTCGTTTGTAGAAATTGTACTTTATTACCAAGTACTGCACCGCACAGGATGATATGACGATAAAGAAAAATAAGAATATTTACTGTTCTCTCTATAAAAGTATTGTGTCGTCTAGAAAACAGATACACAAACAAACCGTGTGCAGTGCAGTCTGGGTAATAAAGTTCCAGGGGCGGATTTAGGGTGGCCCAGGCCCCCCCTTTTGGGAGGTAAAAATAAGGGGGAAAAGAAAGAAAAAGAAAAAAAATGATAATCCAGAATGCCTCAAATGTTATTTTCGGGCATCTAGAACACAAAAATTTTATGGGGGAATGTCCTTGGACCCCCTAGGGCAGTGTCTTGATCGGCCCAACTTTCGGCCCCCCCCCCCATTTTGACATCGCTGGATTCGCCCCGAAGTTCAGTTGAACTTGCCCTAGTCAAATCCAAAATGCCATTGAAAAATTCTTTGACTTAGATAAAATTTGACTTACAAATTGTTAATTAATGGAGAAGACAACAATTTGGCATGTAAAATCAGATCGACCTGGAAATTATTCGAGTTAACTGTACCTTTAAATGACATCAGGCATCCTACACAAGGCAATGACGTATTTACAAACTGGAGTACGCTCTCATTGTTTTATTTATACTCTTTTGTAGTAGCTAGCAATTAAACCTAAACAAAATACTCATCAAGTTTCTTAGATTCTGAATTTAAATTCAGTTATGAGTAGCTTTAGTAGCAACAGTTAAGACTCATTTCAAATGCTTCTGTTGTTTTAAATTTTATTTGAAACAATTACCAATATATAGAGTTGCTGTGTTTTATCTTTTGACATCATTTTAACTGTTAATATATAATATTATTATCTTTATTATTATTATTATTATTATTATTATTATTATTATTATTATTATTATTATTATTATTATTATTATTATGTATGGTAGTATTGTATAATGTTTTTTATTTGTTCATTAAAGTTAGTTTCATTTATATAGAAACCTTATGATATTATAATACTGATTTGTTATTTTTTTTTTTGCTACTATAAAATAGTATTAGATCAGGTTAATTATAATATGTCAATGCTATATATAATGATATTATAGTGGTGTTACTGTATTTATGCGAGAGCCTTACAGTATTATTTACTACAGATACTAGATAGATTATAAAATTTCACATGGCACTAATTAATATTAGTGCCATTTATACACATATGCTTAAATATTGATTTATTCATTTGAAAACAATTAGTTTCCTTAAAGATGCACTGTCTTAAGAAAAAAAAACAAAAAAAAAACATAACATAATAATTGAATAGGTTATTAAAATGAGTTATGAACTCATTAAAATGAGCTATTAACTTTCTTCAACCAAAACAGACACTTAAAATATATAAATTAGGCAATATTTAAAAAACCTTTAAAATTATCAGTGTTTTAAGCAATCTTCATATTTAATAAAACACATGGTAAATAATATTATATTACAGTATATCTTTTCTTTATTCTCCACTCGTAATAATTAGTGCCAGCATACTACATCAACATCAGGTT